AGCTTGAAGAGAAGCTTAACAATGTAAGTAAGAAATTGTGGTCTTTACACATATTGCAGATACTGCAGGAAAAAATGAACCTTAAGAGAGCTCGCTACCGCGTCAAGTAAGCTTTCCAATACACAAATGACGGATAGTCAAGAGGCGGAGGCAGTAATCAACATGCGAGAGGAATTAAAACATCAGGTCAAGTGGAGTTTGAAGTCTCTTACTGTTTTTTCTTTTAAAGTCTGCTGAAATTTCAGAGGCGAAGAAGCTGAAGGCAAATTACGTGAAGCAGCAGGCAGTTGAAGAACAACTTGATACTCTAAGAAAGTGCGCAGAACAAGCAGAAGCCAAGATTTCTTCTTGTTGTGGTTTTCTTCAAGCTCTGCATAATGGGAGGTTGTTTCTTTGACACGAGAAGGGATGGAGTCTTGCTTCATATGATGAGGAGGAATCGTTCCTTTTGCAACAACATAAGGCAGCTTCGTTTACATCTATACTTGCGACTCCTGAGAAGTCTAAGCAGAGACGAATTGAGGTAGGAAAATATGTCAATGATATGTTGATGTTTTTTGTGTTCATACAGGAGCTGGAAAGTCTCTTAGCTAGCTTGCAGGAGACGATCAAGGTCATAGAGAAGGAGTTAGGAAAGCATTGGAACGTCAAAGGAGTGTCAAATTGCTGTTGATAGACTCTCAGCCGATCTTCCAAGCAGAGTTTGCCAAGCACTTAGGCCGTGTATAAGTGGGATAATAATAGCATTACAACTTTTATCATCATCAAGCTCTAAAATTTCATCTTTGGAATGCAAATCATTACAATTACAGCAAGAAATTGGAATCCTTGAAGGAAAGGTAATAGTAATACTTCTTTCTGTATTATTTTCTGACTTTTGCCTCAAAGCTTGCTTGCAGTGAGTTTGATCCTTCCAAGACCAAAGTCTTGAAGCTGTGAACAAGCTTGGACACTCACCTGGTTGTCACTTCTGTACCTGTTGAGAGTGCCATGCATTTTAAATCGCATCCTTATGGTGAAATCACCATGATATGCAGAGCAAATTGCATCTATTCTTGAAAGCAAGGACAAGATTGCTATGCTGACGGGCAAAGTGGGCGCACTAGAGCAGGAGATTTCTACGTTAAAAAAACGTGAAAACAGGTTAGAATAACTTCGCTTGAGATTTTGTTAATCTGTCTTTGTTCCAGATACATGCAAGTGTTTGCCGAAAAGGCTTTTACTTTTAGGACGGCATGTGGTTTGATCTTTGGTTACGAGGTGAATTATGCACCACACTTGTTTCTCTTATTTAACTTGGTACTGCAGATATTAATGAACGAGAAGCAAATTCCGCAGTTACGTTTTTCAAGCTCCGTTCGGTACGAAACATTGAGTTTCAGTATACAGCAAATGGACATGCAGTTGGACGCGTCGATATGCTGGTATGTGTCGTTGACCTCTCAAAACGCTCATTTTGATGCAAGGCAAATGATTATACAACTTCGCCTGAAATCGACTGTCAGGTAACTGAGAGAGTCGTTTATAAAGTCACTCAATATTTACAATGAATCACAGGTGACGAAATTTTTGCAAGGCTTCAAATCGATACCTGCTTTTATAGCCAACTTGACACTCGAGCTGTTCAACAAGGGAACCATTGGCTGAGGGAAGCACAAGGCTACAAACTCCGCCGAGTCTCTCTCGTACGCATGGAGTAGATGTGAGCGAGTAACGAGTATGCCAATCCATTGTTTGAGTCCACCTCAAGCGTGCGCTTTGCAGCATGGCCACCGCCCCCGGAGATCACTGTGACTTCGGCAGGCACCGAGGAAGCACTTCCAGTCGACAGGATCCGTGAGGTACAGCATCGTTAGCATGAGCTCCCGTGCCTCGTTGAGGTGCCCGGCTCTAGCCAGCAGATCGATAGTGCTGCTTCGATGGTTGCAGCTGGAAATCCATCCTCATCGACCCAAAATGGGACCTGACAGTGTAGAGCTCTCCGTCGTGGCTGGAGGCTATCAGGATAGAGAGAAAGCGGGCAGGGAGTCTGATCCGGTTGAAGATGGCCTTGGCTTCGACGACGTGCCCGTTCTGAGCGTACGTTGCGTAGCATCGAGTTCCAGGAGAGAAAGTCGTGCTGTGGCATCTCGCGAAAGAGGTGGAAGGCTCGGATGAAATGCCAAGCAGCGAGCATCGAGTTTCACATGATGTCGTGTCTCTGAGGTACGTCGTCGAAGATTTGTTCACTCCAACCAAGTTTCCACTTGCCGAGATCATCGACGTTGTGCTCCGGCATCTCGTCGAAGATTCGTTTGGATTCTTCGAGATGCCCACCTTGGGCATATGTTGTGAGGAAGTTGGTCCAAGAGATTATATGTCGCTGTGGCATGGTATCGAAACCATTGAAAGGCATGGAATAAAAAAACTTTGCATCACAAACCTTAACTTTCTAGCAGGAGCTATCAGCATGGAGGTTCTTTACCAGCATGATATCGAACACACGCCTAGCTAACTCCGGTAATGGAATATGCTGAGAGCATCGTTGTCCAAGAGACGAGATCCCTGCGTGGCGGAGATGCCCGTTTTGTGCGTAGGCCGCGAGCATTGAGTTCCAGGAGGCGATGTTGCGGTGTGGCAAGAGATCGAAAAGAGGGATTTGGCGTGGTTGAGGTGGGAGAAGGCGTCTTCGCTGTCCTCGTGCATGGCGGCGAAGATGGCAGAGGCGTGCTTGGCGCTGCCGCATTTGCCGAAGAGCTCGATGAGCTTGTTGAGGAGGAAAGTTGGCGGCGGGGAGGAACGTGCATAGATGATGGATTGGACGCGCTGGGCGTCGGGTGGTGGAGGTGTTCCAAAATTCTCCTCGTGGTATCACCATCCAAATTCATCGTCATTGTAAGTTTTAGGTGCATCCAGAGCCGACCAAATCATAGTTCTGAGCCAAAAAGGTAGCACGTCGCAGATTTCTGTCCTCGATTCACTTACATAACTTTGGAAGGCCAGGAAGGGGCGTCAAATTCTTCGCAGCGAGCCTACAAAGCTATAAGCATCAGTGAAACAATCGGAAAATAGCAGAACAAGAAGCTCACTGGTGGAAGCAGGTTTCCTTGTCAACTAGAAACTTGGCACGTTTGGGGAAGAGAAGTCGTCCAATGTCACTTACATGTGGCTGCAGAAAAACTCTCTGGTGACTGGAACACCTTCTTGATAGCCTATCTAAAAATTGCTCCTAAGTTGAACCAAATTGACTAATAAAACAACACCTCCCATAAAGCCTGATGATGCAATGGATCTGTATCGCATAGCCGATGCAGGACGTGGAGATGAAGATCGCTCTAAGGATTCCACAGGGCCGTCAATCCTCTCTTGCTCCGCATTTTACCCTAGCTGCATCTATGATTTGAAGAGCATTGCCGCCTTGGTGGAGAAGGTGTGGCAACCAAGGAGATGAGGCTCATGATTCGAGATGTTCGCAACGTGATGGCTGCACGGCATAAGCTCAAGCCTGGATCACTTGGCTGCATTTATCAAGTTCGTGATTCCGTTGGATTCTGCAATTCTTGAAGAAGGTACATTTGTTGTATATGATCCCTGTTTCCAATCTGAAGCCGGAGGATGACAAGACGATGGAAGTTGACATGTCATCGCAGTCTCCATCAAAGCAGAATGTGCTACCTGAGCTGGAAATACTGTGTTACCTCATAGTTCTGATCTACTTGATCGACCAGAAGCAGTGTAAGCAGGTGAATCCTCGCACTTCCGTTTGGTGCTTACTTTGTTTTCGAAACCAAGGCTTGCAGGTATCAAGAGATTGCAACAGATGAATCGGAGGACATTGATATTTTGGCATCAAGGCTGTATTCATGGTCTACGACACGTGGCGGTGGACGGTCGCCCGCGCTGCGCCAATTCATCATGCCGTAAACCATCCAAAAGAAGACCTATCCTAAGTGACTAGTAGGGGGCAGGTGGATCAAGCAGAGAAGCTTCATTCAACGTCTCAGCGATCTGACTCATATTCGAATCAGCAGCTGATCAATTATATGGTCCTTTCTATCACTAGTGTTGACAGGACATTCATTGGCAGCTCTATCTTGGAAAAATCAGAACTATCCAATTGGAATACATCATGCCGCAAGAAAAGCACCGACAATTCCCCGTGGCTTCCGGATACAATGTAGCAAATGGGAGTGATTGTTGGACTCCAACTGGGTGAGATTCCAGGTTTAGACAACCAAAACCCTCCATCCTTACTCTGAGCTAATGAACCGTTTCTTTCAGTCTGCTTTTGGTGACTTAGGAGCTGTTCAGATCCGTTGCTGACAAGTTCTCCGCCACATTCTACGCTGACAAGACGCACAATCTCATTGTCCCAGACAGGTTTGTGAAACATCAGTATCTCCACTCGGTAATCTCCCTAGCAGATGTGGCTGCCAAGCTCCACCTCTCTTGGGCTACTGCAGTCAGAAACTAAAAACTGTGCACAAAAATAACTTTTGTCTAGCATCTAAACCCTTAAATAAAATAGAACTTAGTTAATGCCTAATGACTACTTCCACACACGGAGTAGCAGCAGCAGCGTAGCTTGATCGATCGCCCGGCGCCTCACTCCAAACCAAGGTCAGTCCCTGGCAGAGATTTCTCCTGACATCCAAGCCCTAGAAGAAGTATTTCCCAAGATTCCTTTCTTATAAAGTTAGGGCTAATGAGTTTCATTTCTTACAAACCTTTACAAGAAGTAAAAGAAAGCCCTAAAATGCTAGAATTGTAAACTCTGTCTTGACCTCTTGGTCGAAAATAGCATAGCAGCACCATTTCCTTTCAAAAGTCATTGTCCTCTTCTTTGCCAGTTCTTGTTTTTGCTGCTGCCTCACTCTACACTTCTCCGCGCTCTCCAGCTCTTTGTTGTGCGTGTTCGGAGGAGCTATGACAGTCTCGTTGTAAGTGTTGAGGCAGAAGGCAATTTAGATTGATTAATCGATCGTGTCCCTAGATGCAAATAAATACCTAATAGCCTCTTCGAAAGTAAATGAAGAAATGTTTTATTAGCACTCAGAGGAAAGCTTTTATTTCTCTTTATTTGTTTCGCTGCTCTCTGTAATTTATCCACCAATAGGAGTTTCTGTCACTTCCATAGGCACCCATTCTTCCTCCTTCCGTGTCTCTCCAGTCTCTATGTTGATAGAGATAACGTCTCCAGCTTCTAAAGACAACTTATTTCCAACTTCTGAAGACAACTTAGTTCCACGTCCTATCCTTGCTCCAACGTTGTATACCAGGACACCTTCGAAAATACCATCAATTTCTTCAGTTGCTGGCAGATCAACACCATCCAGTCGAGTGCTCCTGGTCTTGTACGTGAAAGGAATTCGGCACTTAGCTTTAGTACATTCAAAGGTTAGGTTCGCCTTCTCATTTGGCTTGACATCTTTGACAGTGACTGTGGACTGAAACTGGATTGCGTTCTGAGTGGCCTTACCAAATTCGTAGGTCTTTGTTGTTTCAGTCCCAATAGTCAGCGTAAACGTAGCACTTGCAACTTCAGGCTTCCCAGCGGTTAAAGACACGCTTGTGTTCATAGAAAAGGTGTCAGAGGTGCTCCACGTTTGGCTGGTGGTCAGTGTTTGAGACAAGGTAACCTGCGCTTGTAAATCTGCCGTCTTTTCACCGTCGTTCTTCAAGTAGCTGCGGCCAACCACCAGGGCTTCAATCTCCCGCACTTCGGCCAACTCGAGCAGATACTTTACATCAAATATGCTTGTGTGCGACACAGCCTTGCTCACTTCCAGGTGGGTCTCTTTATCGTTGATGCTGTCGGCAATGGCACATAGGGAACTCACCCAATAATCAGTGTAGCGCTTGCACAACTTTTGGTTGACTGTCGAACGGAAGGCTACAAGTTTATCGCTGAGTTTGATAGGCTCGAACAAACACGCCGGAGTGGTAAGTGCCTTGGAACGTTCGATGTCGGCCCATATCCAATTGGGACTTAGCCTCCAGAAGCGGTCCCTTTTGATGCTGCACATCGCTACATTACCATCCACAGTAGGGACAACTTCAAAAGCCGCGTAAAGGTCCGGATTGTTCTCGAGGTTGAATTGTAGCCAGATTTCCTGCCCACGTTCAGCATGCACGCACATGAACTTGTTGTTGCCGCCCTTGAACATGACATAGCGTGGAAGTGTGAGTGCAGTATCTTCTGCAGAAGTCACTTGCAAGCTCTCCTTGGACGTATCATCAGAAGCTCTGAATCCCCTTTCCAGGTTTTTCACGGTGTGACCACCAAGATACTTCCCATTCAGCACCGATTTGAACGAATAAGTGTTTGAGTTGATCTGCTTCACCTCAAACTGACAGTCAGTATCGGTGGATGCAGGTGTGCCCTCTCGATCAGCAACTACCCAGCCACCATCCTGAAGAACACGCCAGAATCTTCCATTTGCTGCACGTAAGAACACAGTATCTTTCTTCAGGTACAGGATTTGATGAGTTGCTAACCGGGACTTGCTCTGTTCCGAGAAAGTCAAGTAGGGACGCTTTGTGTTATCCTCCCCGCTCGACTTGAAGTTGAGCCTCAAGTAGCCCCCAGAGCTCTTTACTGCTACATAGCGGGGCAGGAGAGTCACAGCTGGAGCATTATTATCCTACGAACACACAAACAAACAAACAACTTATTAGAACGAGAAACAGGACCTCTTGAATCACATACAGGTGTCTTAGCATCTTCTTGCTTAGAATTGTCCAGCGAGGCTTTGATTCCGTCCTGTTCAGGAGCATATACATCAGAAATTTTCATATGAAGCTCAAGTCGTTACCTTTCCTATGCTGATATTTGGGGATCCTCCAACCTTTGGAAGCAAACGGAGTGAAGCCATGGAATACCTAAGATTTTGATGAGTTGCTCAAAATGAAGTAGCGAGGTGAGGAGAGGTAAGGCGCTTCTGATGTTATATATTCAATCAATATTTATTTCTTAATCAAACCTCCGTGGCAAGTTGACGAGTTTGGATCTTGACATTAAGCAGATTATTGGTTGCTTTCAAAATTCAATGCGCGTGGATCACATGAATATTTTTGTAAAGTTTAACTAGTGCACGGCTCTGGATAGGTATCCCCATGGTTAAGACATTGTCAAAGCACATTTTTAATGAACTGCTGACAGTGATGGATGATACACAACCGCTTTCTTTACTATGTAAACAAAACCAAAGCACCAAACATGCACGTGATAATGTGGGCCAACTGTCAAGTCCTAAGGGTTGTGAGTGCCGCTCGGCAAGCTCTGGCCCGCTGCTGGAGCGCCGCCCATTGCGAGCTCTTGTTTCTGGGCGCTGTGGGCTCCTCTCGTGGCACTATACTTGATGGCGGCACTAACACTCTGTCTACAGCACTTCAAGCTTCCGAGCTCCACTCCCATGGGCGCCCTGTTTTAGGGGCGCAGTGGGCTCCTACCCATGGGCTGCGGCTGCTGAGTGCTGCGAGCTCCATTTTGACCGCCGCTCATGTGAGCTCCCATCCTGGAGTGCTGCCCATGGGAGATTTCCACATGGGCATTCTCGAAGAGCCCCTTATAGAAGCTGCATGCTGTCCAGAAGTATGTGAGCTCCATCTTGGAAGCGCCACCCAGTTCCTTTCCAAGCAAAACAACTCTCCCTCTACTTTTGCCAGGCTAACTTAACTCCACTAGATTGTGATATTTAATAGATGATTCCATGCCAAAGGTTGAATACAAACTTTGGCAATGGCAAAGGATGTAGGGACTGAGAGTGATCATTTTTAAAATTTGCATTCATTGTATTGTAGCTTCACTTAGCCAACTGTGACAAAACAGCATTTCTCACCCCTGGGCAACGTGCTTGGCTCAAAAACATGTATTATTATCAGCTTGATTCTAGCTGTTGTGTCTAGTAAGGAACCTGGAAGAGAAGGTAAAGGCTTAAATTGATCAGCTCGGACTGGTATATTTTTTAAATATACATGAATAGTGATTTGATTTGCATATTGCTTAAAGCTTTGTGATATAGGAAATTATCCATGTGATTCTTTATGGAATGATAGATAATATCAACACAGTATGCAGGTCCATCTACCAATCTAAGTCAATTTTATTTACCAAGGCCCTCACTTTCAGTGCAGGTCAAAGGTGTTTGAAGAATTCTCTACAATCTAACACATTATAAAATGTTTTCATGAAAATATTATATAAAATGAAAATTACAACCTCTTAAAAAAATAATGCCTTTGTTATTGGAATGGAATTGAGAATTCTACTATAATCTCAAAATGACATTTGCTGCATAATTCATCTGGAAACAAGTATGCCTACAGTTGGATGACCACATGCATCCTTTCAGAAATTGAGAAATTTAAGACGTTGGTATGCATGTGATCCAACACAAAAGAATGACTATACTTGTCAATTAGCAAGGTTGTCTCCTCTTGGAGGATTAGTAATTCCACTTCTATCAGCTGGATTCCAGCTGTTATGTTCCAAGAAGTGGTTAAGTTGCAAGGACCATTGAAAATATGGATTATTGACCCTGGACTAGAAGGTTGTACTGTGGAAAAGAGCGGGCGTGAAGTTTAGACGATTTCGCAAGCAGTTGGATTTCTTTGTTTCTAGAATCGTTGTCTATAGGAAAAGGCAGAGATTTGATCAAAGTCCGAGGCTGAGACGAGAGTTAAGGAAGCGGAAAACGAAGTCTCCTCACCGAAAACCGAGCTTGCAAGTTTGCATGACAGCTCCGCTAAAGAAATTCGTCGTCTAGAAAGGAACATACAAGGGATGGAAGAGAACAACGAGTTTTGCATGTCTAAAATAAATGCTGAGGTGAATTATTTAGATCATTGGCTTGCTGTAATGGCTTGTGTGCGATTTTCTTCAGAATGATGCATGCAGACGGGAGACCGGGTGCGTCAGAGGAGCTTTTCTATTTGCTCGTGCAACATGGAGAGCTTGAAGAGAAGCTGAACAAAGTATGTAAGAAACTTCATACATGTGTTTCTTTGCTTTTGTATTGCAGATACTCTTGCTACCGCGTCAAGTAAGCTTTCCAATACACAGTGCCCATCTTGAAGCATGAGACTGATGGATGCAAGAATGCAGTTTGGATTATTCGTGCTGCCTCGTCCACGTCTTCATTGTCGTTTTGCTCCAGCTCACTTGCCCTGTTTGCTCGTCTTCTCTTTCGTGGCTGTTCAAGATCTCGAATTACAACAGCCTGCATCGCATGTGAAATATATATTTTGATGTCGTAGCTCCATGCGGGTGATGATCTGTGAGGAGTCTCCGCGTTCCAGTCAATGTTGGGTGTGTGGAATTCTATGTATGCAAGGCACCACTCTCTGTTTCCTTCGCACAGATTGGGCATGCTGTGAAATTTTTGTGACCAAATGAGAAGGGGCATATTAGTGACGTCATTGTTGCCACTGTTGCCTCTCCTGTGGGCGGTTGCATCCACTGGAAGTGTATGAAAAAGCCACTGGAAAGAGGCCGGCAAGTTTTGCTTTGGGGTTTCTCTCGTCTTCTTGCGACATTTCCACGGCAAAGGGCTCCCCCAAATCAGATTCAATGCCATATTGCTGGCGCTTTTCATTCTGCCATGCCAAGAAGCTTTATATCCCATCCTCGGTGAATCTTCATAGCTTAATCTGGATGCCCAAAAGGGCTTGCAGTGTGTTTTTTGTTTCTTTGTTTTTACAGAGAAAAGAGCGACCAAGTTTTTTCATGTGGCTAGCGAGGGAAGAGTTTAGTGGTCTTCCTTCTGTAAGGTTGAACTGCCACAAGTTCCATATAAAGGAGTTATTCAAGGATTTCTGGCTTAAAAATGGGCAGTTTTCTATAGATTGCAAAATTGACCCTACATTGGAGGATTGCAAGTAGATTGGGTTTCTTTTGCCCATGTGCGTTCTTGCAAGTTCTCCATCCCATCCAAGTCTGATCCACTCCAAATGCATGTGCAACAGCATGCGAGCCTAGTGGCAAAGATGCTAGATCTGTGTTGTATGGAAGTAACAAAGATGCGTGTGGAGGGAAACTGTATAAACACCCAGATGAGTGAGCTTCCTCACAGTCTAGCTTCCTCACAGTCTAGTGTTAATTCTTGAGCTTCTAAACACTCCAGTGTTAACTATCACCATGGCTATTCAGAGGTTTGTCCTCCTCGACATTAACTTCCTTACAATGTTAATGTTATTTTCAATTACACCAACTTGCTCTACCAAAGCCCTTTATTATATTTCATTTTCCATAATTGATACAATGGTTTGAAAACCACCCCAATGGTCACAACTTTAAGATTATTATTAATCCCCCATTAATTAATCACACTGAGTCAAAAATAAATTGAACCTAACTTTGTCTTGGTTACAAGTACACTTTAGCCTTGATATCATCCTCGCAACAATTATGCTCTATCCTAGAGCACCTTTCATCTTAGAACCTATTACACTTGGTGCCTTCAGATTTTCATCTCCTTCTTATGTTAGCTTCATGGTAAGAATGACCCAATTATTTCTTTAGTGCTTCCTCTCCCCATTATCCAACATCTTTCACACCAAAATAACATAATTTCTTACTTAAATATCTATCTTTCCCCCAGGAATGAAGAATGAGTATGGAGAGTGGGAGAAAAGTGAGTGTCGAATATGCCAACTAGAACAAACAAGCATGAACTGCTTAACCTTCTTATTCTCCAATACTAATTGTCACCATAGCCATTCAAAGGTTCATTCTTCTCAGCATTGGCCTCTTCAATAGTGTTAATGTTGCCCTATTTACTCTTTGCTTCCCACCAAAGCACTTACTTTTGTATTTCATCTCACACAATTAATATAATGATCTTTATCCTTCACAATGAAAATCAATGTTATAATTTAGCACTAAAAGACAAAAAAGTCTAGCCTACCTAGATTTGATGTTTTTTGCTGGAAAGTCTCTTAGCTAGCACACAGGAGACGATCAAGGTCATAAGAAAGCATTGGAACGTCAAAGGAGCTTCAAGTCACTTCTGATAGGCTCTCAGCCGATCTTGAAGCTGCACGTTCTACAATTTCATCTTTGGGACGCGAATCATTGCATTTACGGCAAGAAGTTGGAATCCTTGAAGGAAAGGTAATCTTTCTGTATTATTTTCTGACTTTTGCCTCAAAGCGTGGTTGCGGTGAGTTTGATCCTTCCAAGACCAAAGTCTTGAAGCCACGAAAGCTTGGACACTACAGAAACGTCTCACCCTTCTGTACCTGTTGATGTTTGGTTATATGTTTTAAATCGTATCCTTATGGTGAAATCACCGATGTTTTCCGGAAAAATCATCTATTCTTGAATGCAAGGACAAGATTGCTATGCTGACGGGCAAAGTGGGCACGCTAGAGCAGGAGATTTCTACGTCATGAAAACGTGAAAACAGGTTAGAATAACTTCGTTTGACTGTCTTTGTTCCAGATACATGCAAGTCTTTGCCAAAAAGGCTTTTACTTTTAGGACGGCGTGGTTACGAGGAGATTTATGCACCACACTTGTTTCTTTGATTTAACTTGGTATTGCAGATATTAGTGAACGAGAAGCCCAATTCCGCAGTTACGTTTTCCAAGCTCTGTTCGGTTTACTCAAGAGCTTGAGTTTCAGCATACAGCAAATGGACATGCTGGTATGCTTTTTGCTTTTGCCTGTCGTTGACCTCTCAAAACGCTCTTTTTGATGCAAGGTAAATGATTATACAACTTCGCCTGAAATCGACCGTCAGGCAACTGAGGGAGTCGTTTTTAAAGTCGTTCAATATTTACAATGAATCACAGATGACGACATTTTTGAAAGGCTTCAAATCGATACCTGCTTTTATAGCCAACTTGACACTCGAGCTGTTCAACAAAGGCACCATTGGCTGAGGAAAGCACAAGGCTATAAACTCCCCCCAGTCTCTCCCGTACGCA